GAAACAAGGTTGGTTAATAAAATTCTATTTATATTTAAAATAAGTTATATCATATCACGTTTAAGTTATAATCTTTGACCACTATATTTACATATGATTTAATATATTTTCAGTGATCTAGAAGAGATATATGAGTTTAATCGAAAATGTTTGTGTTATTTATAAACTAAAAAAGAGTTATTGAACTGAATCTTTTTCTGCAGTCGGTGTCCTCTCCAACGTCGCACTTAGCACGTAAAAACTTTGCAGTGATTCAATTTAAAAGTTTATTTGACAGGAGAGTGGTTCATGAACACTTCTTTTAAACTGTACAAACTGGCGCTTTTAGCTGTTTCAATATGTACAAGTATCAGCGAACATTGTTGAAGCTTGAAAAGAAAACTCAACTATAGAAACTTTTACTGAGTTGCGGATTGACTATTCTCTTGTTAAAACAAATACACTTTTTAAACGCTCAAAGATAACTTCCCTCGGGGGCAATCAGATGTAAGGTACTTAATACAATAATGATCTCTAAGGGAAGTGAACAGTTCCTAGTAATATACATATAAAAGTAATATACATAAAAAAGCATGAATAATTTTATGTTTCACACCACTATACAGTCAAGGGTCGTCAAAGATTTTAAACACGTTGTTTATTAACCGTTATCGTCATTTAATTTGAACCATTTAAAGTCAAATGTTTAACATAAGATAGGGAAAAATATTAATTTATTAAAATAACTAATCAAAACATTACAAATTTATAGATTTAAATTTCAAATAATTAATGACACCTTAACTTTTTTTCTCTTTAATCATAAAGATTTTAAAAATAAATATATCCAGATGGTACTACTTACTCGAATATTATTCTTCAACGTAATAAAGTTGATAAAAAGTTTTAAAAGTATATAAAACACAATTGCAATATACAAGAAGTAAAAACAAAACCCATGATATCTTTAAACAATTCAACAATGTTATATTGCCTCATATTAATAAATAAGCTGAATATTTTAACGCTACATAAGTAATAACATTTTTATTATTATTAATGATTCATTGTCAAATAAACTTTATAATTACAATGGAAAATTGTTTTAATATATAGCTATTTTATGACCATCTTACATGATGTTAGTTAAAAGGTAGCAGATAATCTTGAAAAACGTATAAGTACAAGTAATGTTTATTGGTACTTATCCATATTTTATGATATTGTGATATAGAATACATTGCGTTTTATTGCGTCGTTGAGGTTCTATCGTGTGGACATTAGCCTTTCAGTCCCTTAGCAAGCGCCATTAAGTCTTTCAATGGCCCGCCTTCACGTCTTTCCGTGAATTAAGATAGTCGTGTTATCGTTTAAACTTTTGGCTTAAGTAACTTAGACAAGAATTTTAGAAATAAGATACCGTTATTAAATTACTCAGACCACGGGTAAGGTTAATGATTAGGTCTAAAGGTAAAAAACTTTTCTTCTCTTTGTAATATTTTCATATTTATATAATCCTCGAGGTTATTTTACAATTTGAGAAAGAAATATTTGAAATAAGAAAAAAATATATACAAATATTTTCAAAAGCGTAACTCTCAACTGTAATCGCATAAAACCTGTAGATATTCCAAACCAAATAAACGAATTACATCGTTCATCAACCTTTCTCGGTATTTATTAACCAATAAAGCCATAATAGGAATATTTGAAAATTTCCAAACATCCTGCCTACAGAAGATTCAGGTGATATCGATTTAATAAATCGAATAAGAATATAAAATTACATTCAAAGATTCCCTCAAAAACTCTGACGAGAAAATCATATTGTAAGCTCATATAAAATTATAAGCGGTAACAAGTCGGTGAAAAGCGCATGAATAATTCATTCTCAACGATCAATACAAATATATTTTGCGGCAAGCGATGGAGGTTTAGCATTAATTTCAAATTTACAAACGCATCTCTTTTTATGTAGTTGTAAAAATCTTGAAGAACTTTTATGAAATATATATTTCTAAAATTTTGCCTGAGGTATAATTTTTAAATTTTTTTGTGGTACATTAAAGAAATAAACGTTTTTTATATTGATGTTTTCGACGTGATTAACTACTAATCGTTCAACAAATGATATGTATGTCTGTGTCTACCATTACTGTATGGTGAGCACAAGCTTGCATCGATACACTACATAGGGATCATCGTGTATTTCATTTATAAATGTTCGCACGCTTTAATTTAGGCTATTGAAAGAGAAACTGTGACGACGCAAACATGTACTTAACACATTATTAATACAGCATCAGTATCGTCATCAAACTAAGTGTTTCTAATTTACAGAAAGTACAGAAAAATATTCGAGTAGGTATTTTCAATAAAATGCTAATAAATTATTTCAGACACTAAACCAAAACATAACATCAATCCAAAAGAATTATTATATAACTTAGAAAAACAATTTCATACAATTTAGTAATTATTTGTATATTGAACTTTGAAATACACATTTTATTTCATTGATGTCTTTCAATGCGTATCAAAAATGAATACTGAATAAATATTGGATATTTAGTGTTGTTGTCCCAGTGAAATTAGTTTTGTTTTTTCCACTACAAAAAAAGTTGTGTAAATTGAATGAAAATGCTTTCAAAATATGCCGTGAAATTAATTGACACATTGATTATACTTTAGATATAACAATAGAAGTTTTTTAAAGCATTTAATTGTTTTTTTATTGACTTATAATGAAACAACATTTATTTTTAATTATTATTGTGTTGATGGAATGATTAGAAATGAAACGAAACTTATGCTTTTAATATATTTATTTCACCACATTGTACAACAAAAAACATATATCTATTTATTCGAAAGCCCGGGGATGTTAATGTTTTTAATTTACCATATTTCGCAATCATGTAAATATTATCTTAGAGATTGCAATTTATTTCTATGACTTCTGGGACCTAAGATTCACTGATAGTAATCAATGTACTAACTATAACTATTAGTAAACAATACATAACTCAATAATACTATAATATTTTTATAGTATCCACAACATTAAAATATTTGCATTTAAAAACAAACAATATTTTTAAAACTTCACCTGTGTGTGACTGTAAGCGGTATTTTTAAATTTCCTGAATGTGAATGAAAAATTCAATATCACCCACCAATATTCTCGTAACTTTGACACGTATAAACCTATCGACATACAAGTCAACGAGGCGTCAAGTGAGTTCAAATTGAAATCAAAGTTGTAAATACAAATTTGGGCTTTATAATACTTTCTTGTTCCTCAACAAACAGTCGCACCCATATTCGATGCGAAGTTATTATATATACTTTTTGAGTTAAATATAATTAATTAAAAAAATTCTAAATAATAAATCAATATCCCAGGTTCTTTTTACTTTTAATACTTAAGATATTCTATAATAATATAGATTTCATAATTTTAAAATATACATATATCGCTCTTACATTTGACTTATCACATTGCTTAGCTTAAAAAATAATTTCTCTACAAGTCAGTGTAAAGAGCTGTAGGAAGACATGTAACACCAATCAGATTATTGACTTTGGTCAATATTCTATTGGCAATTATAACTACTTAATTATGTTTTCAGCGTTACACTATTCATATCGAAAATATTTTCTGATTATACTCATAATTTTTACACGCTGTCACATAAATACTAGAGCACGAAAATAAAATAAGCAGGCCCAATGGACCCCTAAAGATGACGTAATTTTATTATACATATATATAGGGAGTAGGATTAAGGCATATATATTTAGTATCTGGCACTTTTAAGCTCAAGATACGGTAAAAAATATTATTAGTAAGCTTTGGTAAAATAATCACTGTAACATGAGATACACAGATTATGAACGAAAAGATTTCTATTTAATGTATAAGTATTGTAAATAGCTTACAAAAGAATCTTTGTTTTATCTTCGTTTTTATTCTGTAAATGTTTTATTTCATCCCATTGAAACGAAAGTTTCAATAAGATTTACATGAATCAGAAACCTTTCAATATGAAAGCAATATCCAACCAAGAGCAATGTATTGTATGTTTGCAATAGCATTATTTAAAAAGACGATATTAAGTTATTTTGAGAATTATTTAATTGTATTTGTTAATTTTAAGTATCTGTGGATATAGTAGGTTAAATAGACAACTTTTAGGACAACATTTAAAGCTCTTAACAGGTTACCGTCACTATGTTTTATTTTCTAAGCTATTGGGAATATACGGGTTATTATCAAGCTATATCAACGTTAAATAATGTTTAATAGCTTATGTGACAAGAAATTGTAATTTTTTATTGATAAACATCAAAAATTATTCAACTAGAAATAATAACAAATAGACGAAGATATAATTATTGATTTGTGTAAATTATAATCGGTATGTTTTTTAACTCTCACCCAATTACTCAACGGCTAATAGACACAATCATTTTATTTTAATAAAGTATATTAAAAATATTGTTTTATTATGTAACCATTCCTATGATTAAAATATTTAAAACTTAACATTTATGAATATAGGGATACAAGATATTTCTGATATTTTTTTACGAAAATAGGTTTATAACAGAAAAACAAAATGAATATTTATTCCCGTAAACAGAAATGACATATCATAATTGATAAATTGACCCTGTTGAAGAAGCTGTAAGGATTTATTAATTGACACAAAGATAGATTTAAATCAATGGGAATCGATGTTTTATAACGACTCGAACATAATAATAAACTTTGATTATAATTAATAACACTCTAATATTTTAACAATTAAATCTTCAAAAATATCTTCAATAGATTTCGCATTCATACATTGAAATACAAAAAGTGAAAGTACGTCGAAAATATTAAGACTTGGGGTGCTTTATGTAAATTAGATAGTAGAAAATAAGTACAACCTTGAACCTTGAAAGTGAGACGAAAATACTTGAAACACTAGGGATAAATGACTATATCATAAATATTGAAAGCTTAATCCGGTTTAGTAATGAGGTTGAAGCTCGTAGAGAAGAATTCCGCAACTTATAAGAAGAATTGGCTGAAATTGGTGAAGTCCTGTTGAAGTCGCGTTAGCGTAAGATGTCTCTGAACGTGGTCTTTTCAAACTCAGCTCGTTTACGGCAACTGCGGGATATAACATTGTGTATTCAGTGTTTCCTTCCTTCAAAACTGTCGAAGAATTCTTTAAAATCTTACTTCTATTTTTTAATGGCTGTAAATAAAATTGATTTTCAAATAGAAGTTAAAAGTTTAAAGTTTGCCATGAATTATTGTTACCTAACAATAAAACTCTGTTTTTATAACAATTGAGTTTACTACCAACTCCTGGTATCGACTTCTTATAGAAACATAATAGATTCAAAGCTTTCAAATCTTTATAGCACCTGTAACTGTCTGTTTCTTCACGTCGGCAAAACGTTCCCCAGGACCCACTTCATCAGGTATTGTCGAGGTACAAGTCAATTGAAGACGACCATGAGCTGGTGTTCTTAGTTCAGCAATGGATACCCATAAAGATATCGGTGGAGGCGCTAATTCTCTTGGCTTTTCTCGAATCTAATAAGATGGATAAAAAATAAAAGATACAACACATGTCTTATCTGATAAATTTCTCTGAAAAAACACTTATCTATACAAAGAAATATCTGTTTTTACAATAGCAATAATTAAATGTGGATAACAATTTGTTATTATTATTATTATTTAAATAAACCTTTTTTAAATAAGACAAAATGAACTATGTACAATGTTGGACCAAAATTATGACCTCCAAAAGATTTAGCCCAAAAGCATAATTAGAAAAAGTAATTAAACTTAACCACAACTGCCAAAGATGTAAAATTTTTCTGTAAACCGACAATTTTGTTAAAATTTAAAACTTACCTTCGCAGCATCTTCATTTTGTCCATCTTTTAATGTACACTTGCTTTGTTTAGTCATATTAGCGGGAGCGTGCGTTGTAGTTTCGCTTACTAGAGCCCAATATTTTGCGGTGTAGTTAAATTCTGGGGCGATATATCTATGCTGATGTTTTCTATGACGATAGCCACTGCCACCTTTATTCCTTGTGGAACTGGATACCCGGTATGAGAAATATCGTATCGATTCTTCAGGGACCTAAAAGAATTGAAATAAATAGCGAAATCCATATATATGTTCATTTGGTAAAGATAAGAAATTTATTTAAAGTAACATACCTTTTCATTATCTATGTACCATGTTAAACGAGGTGCGGGTGCAGCTGGGGCGCTTGTGCAGTTTGCTCGAAGTAAGCCTCCAACTACGACATCTGGCTTCCCGAATGTTATTATCGGAGGATGCTTCTGGGAATCTTTTGAATAAGGAGGTATTACTGATAATCTTGGCTAGGCGCTTTATGAATACGGGAAATAGAATATTGATTTCTATTACTTTGACGTTGTATTTGAAAAAAATATATAAGATTTTAAGATCTTTCATCAAATCTATTTTGTTGTATTGTACTATTTTTTGGTATTGAAAGTAATATAATCAGCGTTAATTGAAATAAATACAGCAGTTCCACTTACATACGACAGTTAGTTGATGTGGCGGTGAGGCAGCAGTGAAGATTGGTGTCTCAAGGGAAACTTCACACCAGTACAAACCAGAGGCAGTCGGGTCTAAATTGTCTATAGTAATAGAGTTTTCCGTCACAAGAGACATCTGAAAAATTATGTTTCCTTAAAACCTATAATGGGTTATATTTGCACTCAGTTTATAAAAACATATATTTGTAAAAATTTACAATTGATAGCTAATCTAATAACTTTCTTCATTTTATAAAAAAAAATTATTATTCATTACAAGAAAAACTTATTTTAGTGGTTCTGTTTGTCCCGTATACTTTTTAGTGACCATAAAGATAAAAAAATGTGCTGGGACATAAAAAGTAATATTAGAATTACAATAATAAATTATATCCTCTAGCGTTGTATAAATAATATTCAAAATTGTTTTTTTAACTAAATATATTTTCTATCAAATTGACTGGAAGATATCGTTGTCTAGCGACAGATCAAATTCCAGCTTTAGATTATTGTTCTTCGGGCTAATATATTATTATTAAATCATGTAACTTATTACCATTTCAATAAATCAAAACATATTTTAACTGTCCTATACAAACAAAAACTGAAGTAAGCCTCTAAAACTAGTCGGTTAGGCTATAAATATATACATACAATACATGGTCTCATATTGTACGAAAGCGTTGTTTTAAACTTGATCACAACAGCCCTAATAGATTATTAGTGAAAAGTTGGAGTAGTTGCAAATTCGGATTGAAATTACTACTAAAGATGTATTAGTTATAACTATAGTATATTTATGGAAGAAAACAACAATTTTGTTAGCAAAGTTGTTGAGTAATTTATAAATTTCTATATACAAACGATCAATAGATCAATCTCTCTAACGAATGTAAATTCTAAAATAGATTTCATAATTCTTTCAATGTTTTTAACTTACGTTCAGTTTTCCACCATGAAAAGTGTAGTTTGTGTACGGCGGTACCCGCTCGCGGACATATTGAAGCAGCTTTGATCCAGAACTTAAGAACTCCACTTTATACAACAATTGGGGTGGAACTTGATGTAGACATCGCAGTGTTGCTGACCCACCTCTCGCCACCCAACTCGGTGCCGATAGCCTCACATCCACATCAGTTGCTTGCCCCCGTCCTGTATTTGGAAATCGTTACCGATAAAATACATTTACATGCATGTATAGTTTTCCGTACCTATATTTATATCTTAAAGTTTAAACTGTGCATATATATGTACAAAGATTTCTGGCAGAAAAATAATATATTCAAAGTTAAAAAATGGAATCAGTTAGAGACTGTTCATGTTTTATTTCATTAAAATATTTATGAATGAATATGTATCAGTAGTATAAAGTACTGTTGCTGTTGTATTTTAGTATAATGACTACTAACGTTATTGTGGTGAAGAGCTTCGTGAAAATATTGTAATTTTAAAGAGTAGTCATTGTTGAATACAATATTATTGTCACGCAACGTATACTTACGTTAATTAAAACTATTATTGTAGAATTAGATAAATCATTTCAATATATAAATGAGAACAACCCTTACGTAATATATATAACAGATTTTTGAATGTTTCGCATACTCCTGAATTTAACTGAGAGGCCTATAAGTAAAACAATCAATACAAAGCATAGCTACTTCATTTACTATTTATTTTATATCAAAGTAAATCACGTCAATTTTAATATATTTTAACAGAGTCTTAATACTTTAAGAAATCCTATTTATCACGGTATCTGTTCTTTAAAAGTGCGGAAAGATATTCTTTTCTGAAATGTATTGAACAAAGTTGTGCAACTACCGTAAATCTAAATGTAGTTAGTTCGTAGGAAAATCGTTTTGTAAGCTTGAATACGAATCACTGAGTACGCTGAAGTTACGATAAAAAGCAAATTATTCTACTTTTTTATTTATTTGAATATAAATATTTTTAGAAGAAAAGAATTTAAAACCGTTTTTCGCTATAAGTAGCTTTCAATATGTACATCAAATTTAATATCTAAGTAATAATTGATTTATAAATTGATTTATAATTTTAATTTGGATTTTCATTATAGCCATAGAAATAATTATACATTTATTTTCAGATGTAGAATACTCACTGTAACTGTAAGCTTCTTAAGTAGGTAAGGTCTTGTGACTTAGTAAGTCTAACGTCGACTAATGAGTAAACTACGGCAGTGCAACACTTCGTTAACTATGCTAAATTTCAGTGGTTTAACGGTGTGCACTGTTATAGACAACTTGAATGTTGATAAATTTCCCAATTTAGATCTAAAATATTTGAAGACTAGAAACAACTTATAAGTTCACTGTGCCCTTATTATATTTCAAAATGAAAATCTAAAAATTTCCTCCTTATAATGATGATTATATAAATAATTTGTAAATAGTAAAAGCCTTCATTCTCATTTCAAAGAAGAACTGAGGTCACTTGCTCCTGCAAATAACAGTCAAACTTCAAAGGTTGATAATTGCTCACAACTTTGTATTCAACAGTTAATTTAGATGTTTCTTTAGTCCGAATATCTCTCTCATTCTTATTTATTCATTTCATATGCTATAGACCCATTTAGATACCGCCATGATTGTTTGCATTAGGATTTTGGGTAACAAAGAGATTTGATGTCTTTCAACGTTTCCTTTGTTATGCAAAATATAGTTATTATAATACCAGCTTTATACGACTTTCCCTTTCCTTGCATACAATTATATATATAAAGATATTATTATGTAGAAAACATACATATATATGTATATAAACAAACATACATGAATACATCGGTATTGTGACGAAAAAAGTTGATAATTAGGTGTTAAAACTTTATATTGTGATTCATTTTCAATGGAATGGGCTCCTACTTGAGTCGAGAGAGACCGAGAGATATTTCAATAACATGAAATTGGTTCAAAATTGTTTTGGTTTATTTTTAGAACACTTGTAGTACTTAAATATAAAATGAATATATCCTGGCTGAAGTACAGTAAATTTTCTTACGAAAGATGTACTTTTAATTAATTCCCGGATTTATTTTACTAAAATTTTGCTGCAAAAACAGTAATTTACAATTTTCAAGTATAGTTTATACCTAAAATTTTAACTACAATAATTACTTTTACGGAACCCCTGCAATATCTGCACGCTCATTGTTCGTCGAAGTTCTCCGAGACAGTGTTCAGAAACTTTCAACTTTCATACACTTGAAATTAAAGCAGTACTAAATATTATTCTTGAGCAAAATTATTTCCATGGATATATTTACTTTGTTAAATATAACAGAACTCAAATCAAGTGCTAATAGTGACTTTAAATAATATTGAGTTCTATAGGTTGGTTAAGAAACTATTTAATAATAAACTTTAATTTATAATCTAATACTTTATAAATCGCTGCTACTATAATTGAAATTATATTTATATTTGAAAATGAAATTATATTTATATTATATTTGAAAACTTATGAAATCAAATAATAAAAAAAAATCTTTGGTCAACTACAAAATGTATGTATAATAAATATATATTAAAAAGCACAGTCATAAATATTTTTTTGTTTATCAAAGACCCTTTACTAAAGTAATACCTGATGGGTACTTAAGAAAAAGTAAAGAATATTTTTTAAAATATACAAAAACGGTTACATCAAAAGGTTTTAACAAAAAGCTATTAATGTTGGTAGAACAAATATAGAAATGCTCTTTCCTTTACTGCATTCACTTTTGCTTTCACTGAATATTTTAAAAAGGCAACAAAACTATGTTCATTCTTAATTTACAGTTATTATATTTATTCAAAATGAGTTTAATTTCTCTCTTATAGACAAATATTTTAGTTTGAGAATAGTCTAGTTAGCTCGTGGGTATAAAAGAATTGTTATTACTGTGTATAAACACAACAACATATTAAGTTTCCTAGAAAACAAAAAATCTCGACAAGAAACAAAATTTTTAACTATATTCAATATTACTGATACATATTCATTGTAATTGAAACGTCGTTTTCATCCAAGTTTTTTCTTTTATTTGATACAATTTCCAAATCGAAATTCATAACAAAAAAGGCATATCATATATCAGCTTTTGAAGATTGGATTACTGAATCGAGTATCGGATGCGTTATGTATCATCTGTTCCGTACATTCCCCTGTTACCGTTTTAGTGAAATAAAATGGAAAATTCAATGTTCATAGAATTTTTTTATGTTTTTTAAGTATATAAATGTTTTGCCCGAAGTGTTTATTAAATTTTAGCTTTGAACTATTAATTATCAATGAAACAACAAGCAATTACAATTCGGGACGATTAAACGTTACGTAATTTCTTGTTAGTGAAATTGTTTGGGATTGAAGCTGCCGATAATTTCAAACTAAAATGGACGGATATTTCGGTTAGTTTCAAATCATTTTGAAGACTAGACTCAATATAATATTGAGTACTTCCATCATTTATTACTATCGCTATGAATAGTTTTATATGACAATGTAAGGTTTAATTTAATTTGAAATTCAATGATAATAAAGGTTAATAAGTTCCAATAATAATAATAATAATAATAATAATAAAGCCCTTTATTTCCGAATTTTTACAATTTACAAAAATTACATTTAAAGTAGATAAAATTTTTATTAAATGATATCTCGTAATTCGGTGTGCCTTACGGCAAAGGCCTCCTCCAACTCTTTCCATTGCAGCCTGTCTGTTGCTACTCTGGTCCAAAAGGGTCCTAGGGTCAATTTTATTTCATCTTCCCATCTTCTTACCTTGCGACCTCTGCTCCTAACTCCATCTCTTGGGTACCAAACTGTTACCTGTTTGCTCCATTTTTCTGTTTTGCAGCGAAGCAAATGTCCAGTCCACCTCCATTTAAGTAGGTCAATTCGTGAGAGTATATCTGTTAGTTTGGTTTTTTGCCTTATATTTGCACTTCTTTCTTTATCTTTTAATTTTATGCCCAACATACTCCTTTCCATGCTTCTTTGACATTTCTCCAGTTTGTCCCTGTGGTGTTTTGTAAGGGCCCAGGTTTCACAGCCATATGTGATGCAAGGTAGAATACAGACATCGAAAGCTTTTTTCTTGGTCTCCAGTCTCAGTTCCTTGCTTTTCATGATTTCTTTCAGAGCCCAGTATTTTTTCCACCCAATCGCAATTCTTTTGTCTATTTCCTTTGACATTTGATCCTTTGGAGATATTATCTGTCCAAGATAGACGTATTCCTCTACATATTCAATATTTTGTCCATTGATGGTTATATCTGTAGGTACCGAGTTTGTCATCATTTTGGTTTTGCTCGTGTTGATATCAAGACCTACCTCCTTACTTATATCTACTAGGGTTTGCACCATGGTCTCCAGTACCTTAGGGTCTTCTTCCAATATAACAAGGTCGTCTGCAAATCTTAGATGATTCAAACGTACTCCGTTTATGTTTAGACCCAGATGTTCCCAGTCCAGTTGTCTGAACATTTGTTCTAGTACTGCGGTAAACAGCTTTGGTGACAGCGGGTCACCTTGTCTGACTCCCTTTTCCATTTTAAAGACACTTCCTATAGATTCTAGTCGGATACGCGCTTTACTTTGTTTATAAATGTTTTTAATGATGTTTATATAGGCTTTATGTATCCCTTGCTCTTCTAGACTTTTCCAAACGTATTCATGCTTGAGGCTGTCGAAAGCTTTGGAATAATCAATGAAGGCTATGTATATAGGTTTGTTATATTCATTGTACTTTTGTATAAGTTGTTTGATGGTATGTATGTGGTCAATTGTACTGAAATTTTTTCTGAACCCTGCTTGTTCCACTGGTTGGTTTTCGTCGAGCCTGAGAGATATTCTGTCTAGAATTATTTTAGCAAAGATCTTATATACATTTGAAATGAGCGATATAGGTCTGTAGTTTCCGATGTCATCTTTTGATCCTTTCTTATGTAACAGTATTATATGTGATTCTGCCCACTTGCTTGGAATTATGCTTGTATGTACAATCTCTTTGAACATATGTGTAAGAATTGGACTTATTTCTTCAATAGTACCTCTAATTAGTTCGTTAGTGATTCTATCGGGTCCTGGTGATTTTTCCAACTTCTGACTTTTTATAGCTTTTTCTACTTCCGATTGCATTATTTCTGGTATATCTTCTGTGTCTTGGATGCTGTAATTTCCTGTTTTATATTCCGCATTTGGCAAGCATATTTCTGTTTGATCTGGGCTGTGTTTTTGATATAATGATCTATAATAGTTTGTTGCTATATGTTGAATTTTGCTGCGGGACGTGGTTGGTAGTTTTTTACCTTTTAGTTTTGTTATCCATTCTTTTCCTTTTTCACGAAGTTCCTTAAGTGCTTTTCTTGTACCTCCTGTCTTCTCTATGTGCCTTTCTATAGTTTTGGTTCGTCTATTTATCCGGTCCCTTCTCATATTTTCTCGAATCTGCTTACTAAGGTCTGAAATTTCTTTTTGGTTTTCTTTGTTATTCTTCTTATAAATTAGGTTCCTTCTTTCTTCGATAAGCTTTATAGTTTTTTTCGCTAAGAAAGGATTCTTTCAGTTTATTTGTTTGTAATTCTTCCTCCTCTTTAAGTTTGGTTTCTATTCGTTCGTATTTTTCGTTTAGGTTCATATCCGAGGTTAGAACTTCCATTAGGTCTTCTATGGTGTCTTTTGAGTTCCTGTTTCTACTCGCGTTTTGTAGGTAGTGCATTTGAACTGCTTTTGGTCTGGGTTTTTTAATTCCACTTCCATTTATACAGCTTCGTACCATGCGATGGTTGGTATTGAAATTTAGTTTTTGTACTACTGCCGTGTCAGTAAAGGCATGTAGATTATTAGTGATTATGTAGTCAATTTCGTTTCTAGTCTTGCCATCTGGAGAGACCCAAGTCCACTTGTTTTTAGCTTTTTTTCGAAATTTTGAATTGAGAATTGTTAAGTTTTGCTCAAGTAAGAATTCAACTAATTTTTCACCGTTTTTGCTTCTTTTTCCTGTACTGTATTTTCCTATTATATGATCTTCTCCTGGCTGTTGTGCGCCAACTTGAGCGTTAAAGTCACCCATAAGCACAATATTGTTTTTTGAATATTTTTCAATAACTTCTGTCAATTTTTCGTAAAAGTTTAATATGTCTTCTCTGTTTGCTTGTTCTGTTGGTGAATAGACTTGAACAACTGTCCAAATTTTTCTATGTCTTGGCAAATTAATATGTAGCACAGCTATTCTGTCTGATATTCCTTCAAACCCTATAATTTGATTTTTAAGTTTGATCTTTATCAAAAATCCTATTCCTCTTTGTCCCGCTATTTCCCCTTTATGAAACATAATAAAATCTCTTCTTTCTTCTATTTCTTCTCCTAATCTTCGCATCTCACTTATGCCCAGAATGTCCCACTTGATGTTTTTTATTGCTAGCTCTAGCTCATGCAAACTTTCTGGTGTTCTCAAAGTCCGTGTGTTTAGTGTACAAATGTAAAGACCATTTCGTTTGAGGATATTTAATTTTGTATTACATTCAGATGTTGGTTTTGTTGATGTTAAAGTATTTATTGGAGGGTGTTGGTCAGCTTCCCCCACGGTGACCAGCCGGCTTGGGGTGCAATTTGTAAAATTTTCCTTTGTGTTTTTGTTTTTCTTTGAGTTTTTATGTTTATATGTACGTTTTATTGTATAGTTTTTTTCTAATGGATATAATTTTTTATTTTCTTCTTCGATCTTCCGGTTTCTGGTGTTAGTTGGTTGCTATTGTTTATTAAGGTCTGATGTTGAGTGCGACCTGTTCCTATACATCCGGTCAAAAGCATTTATTTTATTGATTTTGAGCTGTGTGTTCTCTATGTCGCTTGTTATGTTTGGTGAGGTAGATTCTTCTCTCTTCCTTTTATCTCGTGAGGCAACATTGTCTTGTTTTATTACTAGTTTATCGTACTTTATGAACGCAATATGACCTTTGCTTCTTTCTTCCTTTAGTTGGGGTACAAGTTGTCGTCTCTTTTCTAATACTTCCTTATCAAAGTCTTGTGAGACAAAGATTTTTTTAGGCAGTAATTTCCTGTTACGTAGTATGTATTCTTTTTTCCAGGTGTTTAACATGTTAACTAATATTGGACGTGGTTTCGTGCCGGCTTTACCTATGCGAAATGCTTTATTTATGTCTTGATTCCAAATTTCAATGCCTGCATCTTTTAAAACTTTTGATATAGTTTCTACTATGTTTTTGTTTTCTTTTGTCTCCTCTAAGCCATAAAATATCAAATTGTTTTCCCTTTTACTCTGTTCTAGGTGTTTGATTTTTGCGTTTAATGTTTGTACTTCACTTTTCAATATTATGTTTTCTTCTGTTATTGGTTTCAGTTTTTCTTCCATCTCTTTCAGTACTGCTTTCGTAATAGACTCGGTTAGAGTTGATGTTTGTTTCTCCATCTCTAGTTTTATTTTCGAAAATAATAATTCCATTTGTTTCTCCATTTTTTTTTTGTATCTATTTATTTTTTGTTTCAATTTATTTTTTGTTTCAATTTACTTTTGTTTTAATTTATTTTTTGTTTCAATATATATATATATATTTTATTTTATTTTTTTTTTATTTTTTTAGTAGTAATTATAATTTTACCTGGTAACCCAGGAGTGTAACGAAACGCAACTTCCGCTTGTCAACGTTGGTATTGCGGAATGTCAACTGTCAAGTGAAACAAGTCAAAGGCAGTTGAATGTCACCTTGATTTGAAATATTATATGTTGGTTATGTTATCACACTAATATTAGCACTTTTGTGGATGTTTTCGACCCTTTTGTGAAGTTGTCTTCGTTTGTTGGCTTCTGTTATTTGACCACTTGCACTGATTTAAGTTCTTATAGCGTATTTTAACAGTTTTATGAATATTAATTGCGGAGCACACTCAAACGCGTTTACACTTGTGAAAGCCGTAACCGGAAGTCATAAACTTTACGCAAGTCTATTGGAATAAGTTCCAATAGACTTGCGTAAAGTTTAAACATATTGAGAGATGTACATATTTAACTGAAATATAAAAAATATATAAGTGGTAAAAAAGTTAAGTGGTGCGTGAGTAATTCGATATCTGAAAACCCAATTTATATAATTATTGCGAACGAACGAATATCCTACTTATAATTAAAGCCCGAGGTTATGCATGTTTGCACAATTAATATGGATTATATCTTGTACTATAACTTAAATATTTACATTCTCGTTTTAATTCCCACCTCAAATGAAAATGTTAATGAGTATGAGTAAATAACGTATGTACAAAATTAAGTTGATATTTACTTTCAATATTAAGTTTAATTAGCTGCTTTTCTCTATTTTGTAATAAGTTTTAATGTAAAAATGGTTTTAAAATGAGAAGTAAAAACTTTTAAAGAAACTAAAAAACATTGGACTAATATAGAACTTATTATTATATTACAATTAATAATCTTTAATCGAAACATGATGTCTTATTTACTTACCCTGATTTACAACGATGAGTAGGAGTGCCAAAGACCACCATTTCTGTGTAGACACCATCACCCACGCTGGATCTTCTAGTTATAACATTACTTGCTTCGTCGTTATTATAGTCACTATTATTAATTGATGAGTTTTCCTATCAGTTTGACTTACAGAGGCTCTGTGGAGAGAGTAAAAAAAGGAACCAATAGAAATTAAATAAAATAATTCTTAAATTAAACGCCATTCAAATCCTTTTCCTATCATGAGTTTTATTTTTTTCTTGTTATTATATTATAATATTAATATAACTTTAATACTAAATGAGTTAAAAGATGAATAAAGTATAATAAATTTAGGGAGTAATTAAGTCCTGAACTTTCGGTTAAACTCCAAAAATAGTCTTAAAAACTTAAGTACAATAGTATCACAAATGTTGTATATAATCTTTCATTTTATTTTGTTTTATTTATACAGTTTAATCTAACATTTCGTTGAACAATTTTTACACAACGTTGAATAAACATTCTCAAGCCGGGCCGTTTCGTGTCTTGTTTATATCCAACAAAGTAAAGAACAGAAAAGGACCCTCTCTGTTATCGCACTATCAGTCCCCTGTGTCAATAAGAAGAATCCTTTACAACATATAATACAACCAATGTACATTGTATTCAATTTCACCTTTTAGGATGTTTTAATAATTTTCTCTTTCTACTTTATATAAAACAAAATGATGATAAAAACAGGAGTAACTGACAAATACTCTTATTCCTCCCGCCCGTGATCACGCTAACTGAAAAGTAATCAAAGCGTCGAGTAAAATGTAGAATAATATAATACTGGAATATTTTTTTAAAATGTGTAACCGCAAAACTTTTAATTAGCTTTAGACTATAAATTGTTCGCTGTTCGAAAGGAACTAATGTCAATTCTTTAGACATATTATTTATTATGGAACTTGCAATCCGATTTGCTATTTGCAAAGAGACAAACTGCACAAAGATTATATATTTATTTGAATTATTTTTATCCAACATTATTTTTCTATATTAATAAGTTTCTGAGTAAACTACAAGTTTAGTGGTTATCGAGTCATTTTGTGTTGAAATATTATTCAATAGTATTTTAATAGAATTTTGTAAAAATAAAAGTAAAGACGTTTTTATTCAGTTGTACAAATTGACAGGAACAATTAAGAAATTAAAACGACAAAGATATGAAATAAAAAAATAAAAATAATGTATTCAATAGGTTATTATTATAATATTTCTCTTCATATTTTTCTTTATTAATTACAAATTCTTTGCTTGAAATCACAAAAATTCGAAAAATAAATTTTGCATTTAATATTTAGGGAAGGATTTTCTAAGGAGACTGTTTAATTAAGAAACGGGTGATTTAGCTCCGAGGTAGTCACGGCACACCTGTTTAATTAATAAATTAACTTTTCTCGAATTACAGCAAGATGTCGATATAAGCAAATTAAGTACTATCAAATTTAGTTTTAAATATTAGATCTAAATATATAGATTATGACTAACTTGTGATCTGATATACTGTCTTTAATAAATGACTTACTGTTTATAGCAAAACCCGCGTGTGAGATAGAAATTACTTTCTGATTCGCCAGTTAGCGTCGACAGATCGTAGTTTCATATGAGTTAAAACTTTTTGGATACTGAACGGATGAAGGCCGCGTGCAAAGCATTATCTTCTCACTAACAAACTGCCCGCTCAATACCAGCTTTATAAAACCGTTTGATACGTCATGATTACTATTTTTTATTCATTGTCACTATATTTTTTAACAGGAATAAACATGCAACTATCAATTAAAATCATCTTATTCGGAAATAAATTACTTTGCTAACAAATAGGAATTTAAAAATATTCCAATATCCACCGGAAAAATAGCTACCCATAATGTAACAACTGTTCAAAAATATTATATTCCATAGCCCCAAGGGCTCAACTCAACGTACCTTTAGAAAATCAACTTTATGGAAATTAATAAACAACTAACATCACACCACAACTAACATGATTAATTAGTTTTTCATTAGTACTGTATCTTATCAACATTCTGAAAATAATTTTCCGTCACTTCAGTACATATTTTATAATGAGATCTAAGACTTTCGCGAGTATTCATTGAAATAAAAAAAATATTTTCGAATTCATTACGCGTTCATAATTATTTTTAACAACATATTTTATACATAAATAAAGAGTTAGTATTTTTAAGTGAATTTTAATTAATTGAAACATGTTCTTTTACCCATGACACATGGATTAGAGAAACACGATGAAGATTGCCTGAGGGGGTTGAGAGCCAACCTTAATTAAATTTTGAAAACACCCTTAAATACTCGTAATACTTGTCTTATCAACTTTAAGCACCCTTGACAAGTCAGTTACACGCATAAATCATAATGTAGGCTAGTTTTGAATTGTAAAATAGATTCTTTTAGTCTACTAGTTTTTTATAGATGAAGCACCTAAAATATTAATTAAATACTTTCTTTAGTCTAGAAAAAGACTTTGAAGATTTCATAAAGATAAACAAAATTAAATAATTTAACGAATTATCACAGATATTCAGCTTTGTTTTGAGTAATAGCCAATGCGTATTAAATTAGAGTTTGATATATTAAGAGCGTACAAACTAACCAAACCTTTCATTAACTTTGTAAATAGCTTAAACGATTACAAGAATCGAAATTGGATATGCCGGGTCAAAAACCGCAATCAATACAACTAATATACGAAAATTTAATGGGGAAATATCGTTTGTTATCAATAAGTGGTACAAAATCATTTAGGATTAATAATTTACTTTTCAATCAGTTTTAAATATACATATGTTTAAATTCAATGATTAAACAATGTGAGCTTAAACAATTCAAAAACTAATCAATAAGGACCTAAAACATGTCAAAGATATAAAAAATTAATATATACATTTGTAATTTACTGTTTTTGAGAAACCAATCTAAACAATAAATAAATAAATATTTTCGTATTTTGCAAAGCAATAACAAAGCAATTCCTATGATCAGTTCAAGGAAGTGATAAAATTAGCTGTTAGTGTAATGACATCAATTTAATATAAACATATAATTCATGTTTGTTCATGTAAATACAAGAGTTCTTAAACCGACATTTATAAATTATGAATGAAGTCAGTGAAATAAATTCACAGAAACGCAACCATTAATAACTCGTCAAATCTTACAACTTTTTTATTGTAACTAGTAACAAATCATGTAGCAGTGGTTTTGAAGTGTTTATTTCAGAAAATTACTCTTTTGAAATTGTTTCCTATTACAGACGTGATTACGGAACAATGTAAAACACAAAGGATTTCTTTTTAACTTCATTGTATAAATAATGAGGTTTATTCTTTTAAATCTTTTATATTTTTATTTTTATTGAGATCACTGAATGACAATTACATTTGTTGAGAGCACTGAAAAATTTGTTTTGAAGAAAATATTATGTATTATAGTTCTTATTGATTGAGCAAAGTATTTTTATTTTAATTCGTTTGTAAGATAATAAGGAAATGTGTAGCACTGACTTTCATAAACAAGTTTATATGACAACATTTGACTTGGAAAGAAATAGAAATTTTTGAATTTAAAAAAAACATATGTATAAACAAGTTGTACATTTTATCCAATTGAAAAAATATTATTGTTATTACTGCATTATTACTATAATGAAGTACAAATGTAACCTCAAACTAGACATATTTATGAAAATTATTTTTCTTATTGAATGATAATAATAAATTTTATATATATTCAATCCCGAGATGGTTCGTAAGGCTCTTTTTAACAAATAACTTGTTCGCATCATTTGTTAAACTATCCCGCCATTAGACAACGTCGAATCTCGAATCTATATTTTATAAGATCAGCATGGGATAAAGGAAATTTATTTATAAATAGGGTTAATTTTATTACAGTACTTTTTCACATTTTCTATCCAAGAAAAATGTTCTTTATTTTCCGTAATAATATCATGAAATAAACAATATATGGGTTATTTCTTGTTAGTATTTTTAGGGATATTTTATTTATTTTAATAAGATGTTTCATTAAATTTATTTAATGACTTAAATATGTTTTCAGTGCTGTCATAATAATATTATGTGGTAGAGTTGTAAATATTTTGCGATTTGATTGGAAAAGTCCATATTACAGTTGTTTTCTTCCAAAGAAGGACCATTTTTTACTTTCTTTTATAAGTTTGTCAGTCTTATATAACATTAATTAACTTAAGATATTTGGCTTTATTTTTTACATTATAAGATGTTGATTTTATTGAATATATTTTTAATATAATTGATTTTTACCGCACAATATTATAGGCAAACGTTCTTCATAAATAGTAATAAAAAACTAATATAGACTAGTTGTATACAATTGTTAGAATTATTTTTCAATAATATTTTTGTTTTAAACGTGTCAGGGTTATTCAGTCATCGATCATTATTACATACCACAGGCATGCTTATTATAATCAATAATTCAATACCCTCAACTTCATTAAACAGTAATAAAAGTACACGAAGGAGAATATAAATTCTCACATACATACAATAATTATAAAATCGTTGGATTGCATCAAGTATTTTATAACTTACTTAATTTTTACGTAATAAAAATAATAGGTAACAAATAAATTTATACCACTAATAACTTAATTAATTTTTGTTCCAAATCCAAGAGAAATTAAATAGAAATCAGATTTAAGATACCTGTGATACTCTTATTTGAGTAAATTTCACAATTTATAAAACAAATCTTTACCAAGAATATTTTAAAAAGAAATCACAAAATAAATGTTACAACTAACTTGAATGATATCAAAGAAAAAATATCAAAAATGTGTAATTTATATTTCTATTACAAAATGTAACGTGACATAACAAAATTTTAATTCTGAAACACATTCCTCACTTCACCTTAGTAACAATATTGTCATTCCTACTGCCTCTTATAAAGAAACGGAAATGAAACGTGGCACATTAGAAATGACGTGTTATATAAAGAATATACGGAGACGGCACA